CCTGATCTCCGAGGCGAAGGCAGCGTCACCTTTTCACACCAGGATCTCACCAGGGATTTTTACTGTTTGGTTGGATGGTCCCTGGCCAACTCCCAGATTTCAAAAATATTTTCTCATTGGGAGTAATGGTGGGCAAGGTCACTCAGACGTTCTAGAAACTTCTGAGCCAGGAATGAATGACCTTTCCCAACAGCCTGGGGGAGGTCAGGGGGGAACTAGGCCTCTTCCCTTTGCCCCTCTCTCCCTCTTCCCAGCTTCGTGAGTCAGGCCCAGGGCGGGTGGGAGGAAGTCCGCCGCCCCCGCCGCCTGCCCAACCCGAGCCAGTCTCACTGTGAACCACTACGAACCTTAACTGGGGGAGTGGGGGGCTGGCCAGGCCTGGTGGAGCCTCGGGGTGACCCCAGCCCAGCACCCAGCTTTAGCCCCTCCCCGGCTCCCCACCGCTGGCCGCCCCCACCTGCCCCCACCGGCCACTCTGCTGCTCCCAGACCTTTGATGTTTGGGACACCCGTTCTCTCCCCTGACCAGTGGATGGGATGGTGGCAAATCCAGGGTCTGGCTTTGCAGGGAGGTTGCAAGATGTTGGGAGAACCCAGTCAATAAAGTGTACTACCTCTGACCCCTGACCTCTGACCTCTTCCTGGGGCATCTGCCCCATTACCTGGTTAGGTCTGTCCATCAGACCCAGCTCTCCTCCGGGCCCTGCCTGGGGTAGTTGTGGAGAGACTTTGGGGGTCTTGGGCCTCCCCCCACCCAGTGTCTGGGTGCCCCCAGGACCTCCAGTGCTGACATTCACGTCCCTGTCTGTCTCCATGGGGCTGTGCCGGGTATAGAGACCTGTCCCCTCTAAGTCCCGAGGCTCCCGAGCCTCCCAGGGAGGCCGAGACCCAGCCGATACCACCTGCTCTTTTCCGTCGGGACCAGGCCCCGCACCCTCACCAGCCCCTGGAGCTGCAGGACAGCGGTCAGTTCCTTTGCTCCCTTGTCCATCAGTCTTCCTCTGGCTGCTGAAAACCCTCCCACAGCCTCTCAGCCCATCAAATGCAAACACCTTCCGATGGCCCCGGGGCCCCGGCTACCTCTCGGCTTCAGGCTTCAGCGTTGGTCCTCGTTGCTCTGCCCCAGCCACACTGGCCTTCTCCCTTCTGGTCCTTGAGAAAGCGTAGCTCGTTCTCGCCTCTGAGCCTCCACACTGGCTGTTCCTTCTGCCCAACACACTGTTCCTCCCCCTCGGTTCCCAGCGGGTTCCTTCTCACTCCTCTCTCAGCTCACGTGTCCCGCCCCCCGCAACAAGTCCTGAAGGTGGAGTTTCCCGCCACCCTGGTCTGTCGTCGTCACAGCCCCTGTCACCCCCTGACATTTTCTCGGTCTTGTTTGCTCTGTTCCAGGCACAGGTCTACACGGTTTGCATGAACTCTATCACGTAATCCTCACAAAACCCCTAAAAGGCACATACACTATCACGCCCACCTTACAAAGGAGGAAACTGAGGCACAGAGAGGTTTTGCGACCTCCCCGCTGGTAAAGGGCTAAAACCAGGCCTCACACCCAGGAAGCGAGTGTGTGTGTGTGTGTGTGTGTGTGACCCCAACCACAGGAGCCCGGTGAGCGGGAAGCTGGAGAGGGCGTGTCGGCATTGCAGCCAAGGCCAAGCATCAGATACTAGACCGGGTTCTCAACACACGTCCCCAGGAAGCCCGCAGCTGCCCCGAGGGCCG